AGATGAGCCACATATATCAATCTTAAAAAAAAAATCTAGCTATTATTAGACAGTACCAGACAATATGACATATGAATTTTAGTAGGTAATATTCTCTATTTCTTATGTATTTCAATGTAAAAAATTCATCCCCATTGTGGCCCCACCCTAAAACCAAGGGTCGTGATTTGAAGAATTTAAAATCAACAGTTCCTCAGAAACCTTCAATGAAAGTTAACCTTTTCAGGCCCAGTAGTTCTTAAGAAGATTTTTAAGATTTTTCGTACATATTTCAATGTAAAACTTTCATCCCCTTTTGTGGCCCCACCAAAGCCCTGAGGGTCATGATTTGAACAATATGAAGTCTACACTTCCTTTTAGAACTTTCCATGAAAGTTTCACTTTTGCTAGCCAAGTGGTTCTTGAGAAAATTTTTAAAGGATTCAACCCTATTTTTGCCTATTCTTGATTATCTACCCTTGAAAGGGGACTTGGCCCTTCATTTGAATGATTTTAGAATGTGCTTTACCAAGGATTCTTCGTGCAAAGGTTGGTTAAAACTTGCCTAGTAGTTCTAGAGAAGTCGAATGTGAAAAGTTTACAGACGGAAGAAAGACAGATAGACAGACGGATGAACAGATTGATGCCAAAGTTGATCAGAAATCTCACTTGAGGTTTCAGCTCAGGTGAACTGAAAATTTCTTTCTGCATGCAATGTGCTAAGTAAATACATACATTGTTGTTACATGTACATCAAATGTTTCCCTCCATATTTTGCAATTAAGTTTCTTGTGTACATTCAAACATTCATTATAACAAGAGGCCCAAGGCCTTGAATCGTTCTTCTGATAAACTGTACAACTTATCACTTCTATTTGAAGCCTCTAAGTATCCTGTATACATGTATTAGATAAGGCCCTGAAATTCCAAAGTAGGTCATCATGACCTACATTTTAGATGAAACACTCTGAGAACCCAAGATGATTCTAAGCCAATTAGTACCTGAGAGTAGGTCATGGTGACCTACTTATCACCTGTCATTCTCTGAGGACCCAAGATGCATCAACTAAGTTTGATGATTCTAAGCCAATTAATACCTAAAATATTTTTAAAAATTATATCCATAAAATTTCAAAAAAAGGTCAGAGACCTACTTTTCATATGACATACTTTGAGGACCAAAAAGGCATCAACTGACAAAGTTTGATGATTCTAAGCCATTAAGTACCTGATATATTTAAATAAAGCCAAAAAATTTCAAAAGTAGGTCACAGTGACCTACATTTCAGTCAACTTACTCCGAGGACCCAAGATGCATCAACTGACAAAGTATGATGATTCTAAACTAAATTGTACCCTAAATATTTCATTGAAGCCTTATAAATTGAAAAGTAGGTACCGTGACCTTCTTTTCAGTAGACATACTCCGAGGAGCCAAGATGCATCAACTGACAAAGTTTGATGACTCTAAGCCAAATAGTAACCGAAAATATTAAATACAGCCATTAAATTTCAAAAGTAGGTCACGGTGACCTACTTTTCAGTTGTCATACTCCGAGGACCCAAGATGCATCAACTGACAAAGTTTGATGATTCTAAGCCAATTAATACCTGAAATATTTAATTAAAGCCATAAATTTTCAAAAGTAGGTTATGGTGACCTACTTTTCAGTTGTGGTGCTCCAAGGACCCAAGATGCATCAACTGACAAAGTTTGATGATTATTAGCCAATTAGTATCTGAAATATTTAATTAAAGTCAAATTTTTTTCAAAAATATGTCACGGTGACCTACTTTTCAGTCAACTTACTCCGAGTCAAGGTGACCTACTTTTCAGTTGACATTTTTCGAGGACCCAAGATGCATCAACTTACAAAGTTTTATAATCATATGCCTTAAAATGTCCAAATTATGCCTCTAAAACACTTTGAAATCGAGTTCAAAAAGTAGGTCAAAATGTCTTAAAATGTCCAAATTATGCCTCTAAAACACTTTGAAATCGAGTTCAAAAAGTAGGTCACTGTGACCTACTTTTTGATAAATATATTTTATGGCCCCAAGATGCATCATCTTACAAGATTTGATGATTCTAAACTTCTCAGTATTCAAATTAATGACCTTAATTGTTTTGAAAAAGATTAGCCATAAAGTTCAACAAGAGGCCCATGGGCCACATCGCTCACCTGAGCACATTAGCTAGGAAAAAGCACATAGGATTTTTAAAGATTTTTTCCTATATATTCCTATGTTAAACTTTGATCCCCCATTGTGACCCCACCCTACCCCCAGGGGTCATTATTTGAACAAACTTGAATCTACACTACCTGAGGATGCTTTTATTTCAATATGACTAATCATGGCTTTTCCATTCTTGAGAAGAAGATTTTTTCCTATATATTCCTATGTAAAACTTTGATCCCCCATTGTTGCCCCACCCTACCCCCGGGGGTCATCAAGTTTGAATAAACTTGAATCTACACTATGTAAAGATGGTTTCCTAAAAGTTTCAACTTTTTTGGCTGAATGGTTCTTGAGAAGAAGATTTTTAAAACATGCCACCAAATTTTCACTATTTCTGGATTATCTCCCCTTGAATGAGGGCATGGCCCTTCATTTGAACAAACTTGAATCCCCTTCAACCAAGGATACTTTGTGGCAAGTTTGGTTGAAATTGGCCCAGTGGTTCTGGAGAAGAAGTCAAAAATGTGAAAAGTTTACAGACGGACAGACAGACGGACTACAGACAAAATGTGATCAGAAAAGCTCACTTGAGCTTTCAGCTCAGGTGAACTAAAAAGTTGGTCAAGGTGACCTACTTTTTAGTCAATGTACTCCAAGGACCCAAGATACATCAACTGACAAAGTTTGATGATCATTGGAATTGAATTATTCAAAATGTGCCTCTAAATCATTTTGAAAAAGAACGGCAGCAAAATTTAAAAAGTAGGTCACCGTGACCTACTTTTGAGTCAACATGACATGAGGTCCTTAGATGCATCAACTGACAAGATTTGATGATCCTAGTCCTTATATTAAACAAAATATCAACATTTTAATAAAATGTATTTTTTGGTCAACTTTGAAGTGACCTTGAGACCATGCCCTTTGCCCCAGGGTGATGCGTTGTACAATTTTTAATGTACAACATATCTTCATCCTTTTGTGTAAGTTTGGTGATAATCTGCCCAGTTGTTCTTGAGAAGATTTTTTTAGCAACCAGTACTTTTGTTTCTATTTTCCTAATTATCTCCCCTTTTTTAAGGGTCACAACCCTAGTTTTAGAACAAACAGAAGCCCTTTGGCCAAGGATACCCTGTGACAAATTTGACAATAATTGGCCAAGGGGTTCTTGAGTTATGGCCCATATTCTAAAAAGTTTACGCACACCGCACAAATGGCTATAGCATTAGCTCTTTGAGCCTCTGGCTCAGAAGAGCTAAAAATGTAACAAATTAAGGTAACAAGTTTTTTTCCTTGGTCCCTTGAAATTCAGTATAAATTACCAATTTTTGCTGTATACACGTACCATTTTGCTTGTGGTTGTACTTTCTTTTTTGTCTTTTTCTACAAAGGTAGACCACAAGGAATGCAACATATATTGTCAATAAAAGAATCAGAGATACAACTATCACAGCAATACCACAACATGGTACTGAATCTTCACTGCCTGACCTAAAAATATTGAAATCATATTAACATTTTTAAAAAAAATCATTTTTATATGCTAATACAGACTCTTAACACAATGAATGATTTATAGATTCATTGACTTATAAAGATATAAATCATTGTGTAAAATGTAAAAAACAGACTCTTGGAAATTTTCCCAGAAACTTCACATTAAAAAAAACTCCATGCATGTTCATGTTAAGTGGGTTCTTATGATGTAAATTCATTTTCAACTTATCTTGGGGTTAAGCTTTTACTTTTACTTTACATTACCTCACTATTATATAAATAGTGCACGTTTTTGAGGGTAACAGTTGAAATTGACACCCCAAGGAAAACCATTGTCAACCGACGCGTCAGCAGAGGTTGACAATGGTTTTCCGAGGGGTGTCAATTTCAACTGTTACCCTCAAAAACGTGCACTATTTATTTTATTATACTGAATGTCTTATTGATTTCGGATGTCATAAAAAAAATTCGGAGATCGTCGTTAAGTTCACGCTTAGAAAGCTTTCAAACTCCCTGCTTCTATTTTTCTCAATAAGAAAGCTTCGGAAAAGATTTATCAACCTCTCTATTGTTTGTTTGCTACTCAAAAAGTCCTTTATCATCTAAAGTTTACACTCGCAAGGATGTTTCGTCTGTCGTTTGTTGTTTTCAAGTAAGCTACATGGGACGCAAGCTTTTATTGACGTCATTTATTCGGCTTCTTTCAAACGCACAACCGACGTTTTGAGAATTCTATGGTGAACCGTACGCGCATGATTTGAACGCATGTGATATTTTCGTAATGTTACCCGTTGTCAAGTGTGTTTCTAACGCTGAGGGTAATATTACGGATTGTTAAATGCTTCTAAACCAATCAGATTTTAGTATTTAACATGAAAGTATAATAAATGTATTTGCTATATTTGACAAAGTATTTGTCTCAGTATGATAATATAATTCATTTTGGTTAATGCAATATGTACATGTATTTTGGGATCAGTAAATTATATCTCACTGCACAATATAATTCTGTGTGCAGTCTGCATGGTAAAATAGGCATCCAAACTTAACAGTACTGTAAATACTTAGACAGAGAAAACCTTATCATTTTCTTCTAAAAAAAAACTTCCATCACAAAATATAGTCCCTTACTTAATGCTTCTTGTATTGAATTTGTAGATATTAAATTGAATGTAGATTATTTGGCACTGTAGAATCCATATTTATTTTCAGCTAAAATATGATGCAGAATTTTAGATATATAGTTCCAGACAAACATCTGCTCAAAAGCACAGAACTGAAATATCAGAAGCATGGTATCAAGATATGCATCTTATTGAAATGTTTGTGGATCATTTAAATAACTACACTCTTGTAATCATTATAAACCTCTCTGTTATGTTGTCTGAAGTGGAAGAGTCTCCCGATGAGGTTGTCAATGGAATCCCCTCTGTTGATTCTTTACCAATAAAGTGTTGTCCTGTTGTTGACAGAAGCGAATGCCTAGTCGTTAATGGTTGACTTGTTGTTGGTCTCTGAACTAAATTATAGCAGCCCTGGTCTACAATCAGAAAATTCATTATATTAATGTTATTTTACAAATAATGCAGTCATTCAGTTTTCCAAATGAAGATATAAAACTGAGACAAAGTATTGGACAAATGTTAACTATAAAATACATGGCTATTAATCAAAATTTTATAATTTTGATAAGGGCTAAGTACTCTATGTCATTGTGCTTACAGTTTGACAGCTACATTTGGATGTTAAACTGACAATTATATTCTTGAAGATTATGAGAAAAGTAATGTATTATCAATATATGCCAAATTAAGCCCCATTCTTGGGCCTAAACCATGGGCTATGAATTTTACATTTGTGGTGAGAGTTTTAAAAGTGTAAATTATTGCCAATCTAATTCAAATCAGACTTCTTAGATCCCCACAGTATGCACTTGGTGCAGAAAAAGGAAGTCCTACTTTAATTATTATGAAAAAATTGTGCTTTTTACATGAATGCTTGTAACAGATTTTATATCACATATGATTAAAATAATTCAAAAAGTAACTAGAAATATGTCCATAGGACATGAATGCCCCGCCGAGGGTATATTAGTAATGCAACATTTTAACACAAATTGAGAAAAGTGAGGTCAAGGTCAAAGGAAAGGTCTAGGTGAAAAAATATTGATGCAGTTGAATAGCTTACATCAGTATGTATCAGCATATGAAGTTTGACACTAATTTAAGAAAAGTGAGGTCAAGGTCAAAGGAAAGGTCAAGGTCAAAAAATGTTGATGCAGTTGAAAAGGTTACATCAGTATGTATTAGCATATGAAGTTTGATAAAAATATTGTGAATGGTTTCTTTAAAACTGAGCTAAACACTAATTTAAGAAAAGTGAGGTCAAGGTCAAAAGAAAGGTCAAGGTCAAAAAATATTGATGCAGTTGAATAGTTCTCATCAGTATGTATCAGCATATGAAGTTTGACACTGATTTAAGAAAAGTGAGGTCAAGGTCAAAGGAAAGGTCAAGGTCAAAAAATGTTGATGCAGTTGAATAGCTCTCATCAGTATGTATCAGCATATGAAGTTTGATAACACTATCTTGAATGGTATCTTTAAAACTGAGCTAAAACTTATTTCAGAAAAGTGAGGTCAAGGTCAAAGGAAAGGTCAAGGTAAAAAAATTGATGCAGTTGAATAGCTCTCATCATTATGTATCAGCATATGAAGTTTGTAAAAAATATCTTGAATGCTTTCATTAAAACTGAGCTAAACACTAATTTAAGAAAAGTGAGGTCAAGGTCAAAAGAAAGGTCAAGGTCAAAAAACGTTGATGCAGTTGAATAGCTTACATCAGTATGTATCAACAAATGAAGTTTGATTACATTATCTTGAATGGTATCTTTAAAACTGAGCTAAACACTAAGTTAAGAAAAGTGAGGTCAAGGTCAAAAGAAAGGTCAAGGTCAAAAAATGTTGATGCAGTTGAATAGCTTACATCAGTATGCATCAACATATGAAGTTTGATTACACTACCTTGAATGGTATCTTTATAACTGAGCTAAACACTAATTTAAGAAAAGTGAGGTCAAGGTCAAAGGAAAGGTCAAGGTCAAAAAATGTTGATGCAGTTGCATAGCTCTCATCAATATCTATCAGCATATGAAGTTTGATAAAAATATCTTGAATGGTATCTTTGAAACTGAGCTTTGAACAGAGCTAAACGCAAAGTGTGACAGAAGGACAGACGGAAGGACGGAAGGACAGAAGGACGGAAGACGGACATGATAAACACTATATGCCCGGCCATATTCATGGCGGGGCATAAAAATGATGCAAATTAAACTAAGACAAATTAAATATCAACATATTTTACTAAATGCACATCAAATTTACATTTGTATGCATTTCCAAATTATTTTAATTGATATAATTTTTTTAAGGATGTTGTGTACATTTATCATGTTAATTAGTTTACTTTTCATGGTATTGATTTTTGTTTCCATTTTATATGGTAATCTCCTAATTTAGGTGAAATTGTTGCAATGAAATCCATGAATATTTTTGCTTTGAAGTCACACATGCAGAGCAGTATTAAGCGATTGAAATTAGCCATGTGTGCAAATTTTGCTTTCAGTGTTAGCCCAATTGGACTAGCCCCCCTCCCCTTCCCCTCCTAGTCCTTTGAAAAGTGTGAAAAATTAAATGACAGTTTTATTTCAGTCCTTAGATTTTTTAAAAATCTTTGCTGTTTCTTAACTTTAAATAGTGGCAGCTAGTCTCTGCAACTTTTTTTCTTGAACCCTTCCCTTGTTCAAATTCTTCAGCAATTCAACATAGTGATCTGACAGGAACAATGAACTATAAATACCAAACAAAGCATGGACAGAAAGACATCAACTGGGATATGAAAATCATACGAAAATCATTGATTAAGTTGTATAATACTATTATCAAGATAATATTCAAGACAAAAATCTCACTAACATTTATAACAATACTGATAAAAATAGGCATTTATCAATGAAAATTCCACTAATCTGATTGGCTAATCGGGCTAGTTTCGACTAACATTGTACTAGCCTGACCAAATTTTTACTATAGTGTTCCAGCGCATCAGGCTAGTGCTTTTGGCGCACACTGAATTAGCAAGTAAATGCCAGTTAATTTGAAAAAATATCAGTGAAATTACTGAACACTTAAAATCTTAGAAAGTGGTGATTTGAAAACTATTAAGATCAGTTTTGTATCTTTTTTGGTATTTTGATTATACAAAATTTGTCATTTTTATACAGAATGAATCACACAAATGCTTCTGTCAAACAACCAATTCAAATAACTTTTTGTTTTCTTTTATATTCATTCAGAAATTCAGCATCAAACAAATAATGTTTTACAAATCATGGTTATAAACTATGTTTAATTCAAGAAAATGTAGTGAGTCTGATGGTAACAATAATTCTTCCAAGCTCCAATCGAGCTGTCTGCAGTTCAGGTAGACACTGATCTGTTGGTTTTTCTGATGTATACTATAGTCTAATTTCCACTGCACACTTGAGATGGTGATGTACATGAGATAGCAATTGATTAATAAAAGCATGGAAAAAGCACCGATTCATTCATTAAATTTTAACTGTAGATTTTCATCTTAGCTTGACTTGTGGATTTCATTTCCATAGGCTGAAATAAGCCTGTGGGAGAAAACGTTAATTCTAATCCTTAAATTTGTCTATACATTTTTATCAGTTAATCATGTTAATATAATTATGTTGCTTTGTTTTTTTTCTCCTTTCAAAAATAGCATATCTAATTATATCTGACCACTGACATTTGGAAGGACACTTAAAACTGTTATGCAAAATTTAAATTCAAATTAGCTTTGCTTAGCATTCACACAGAAGAACGTAATGCAAAGTAGTTTGATGCAAAGTGAATTAATTGGAGTTAATTATTAATTAATTTTAGGGATGTCAACGAATAGTCGACTATTTGACTATCAGTCGAATGGACCGACGATCGAATAATGAAACGACATTCGAATATTATTATCATTAAATAAATTCAACAAAAGAGTGATATAAGGAGATGGCATTCTCATCTTAAAATTGAGAAACTGCCTTTCCTCAGAGACAGTCGAAAATTTTCCTCAACAAAAACGATTGACTTTCCATGTACTCGTACTTATAGAAAGTACAGTAACTGTAAGTGCTTTACTACCGCGGGAATTATATGTCAGATACTGCTTCTGTTATTTTTGTAATAAATTACCCATCAAATTACTGGACTTTGTTTGGAAAACTATTAATTGGGCTTGATCTTATACCTTGTACCAGTTATATTTTGTTATTTTAGGATTGCTCAAATCCAAGGAACACCATAGCCGTGACAAGTTTTGACACTTCTATAATTATTAAAACAATCCGCTTACACTTTAAGGACATTTTGATAGCCGGGGCAATCAATTGAATAAGCTAGTATCTAACTGTTTAAAAATATCACGAGCACCTGATTTTTATTTATTTCATAATAAGCTAAAAAAAATTGTTTTTAAAAATATCGGCTGGCAATTTTTAAATAATGCTTACTAAAACATAAATTGACTGTTTAGACCGATCTATGAATTCGATTGATGGGGAAATTATACAGTTTGGAGAATTAGGTGTCTAAGTTTATTTCATATAATCATACTATCCACACGTTACGTTGCATTAATTTTGAGGTTACCTTTTCAATAGATTTATGTAAAAGGGTTTTTAAGTTACAAATACGTCATGTACCCGTGAAGTTTAAAATAAAATTTTATTTTCAGAAAATGTTCCGAATATTCGACTATCGTTCGAATAATGCAACTGAATAATCGACTAAGGAAAATAAATATTTTGACATCCCTAATTAATTTACATTAAATGTTTTTTGGAAGACAGTTCATATTTAATTTTTAACAACTTAAATGATCCTCTCCCAGTGTGAACAGGACATATCTGCTATAAGTCGATCAATAAGTAAACAAAATTAATGTACACTCAATACCCGACTAACTTGTACTCACATTATGGAGCTTTACAAAAGCTGCATTTGTGTACCTGTAACATGTCCTTTAGAAAAGAAAAGGACCCAAAGCCAAGAATTTCAAAATTCTGTATGGAAAAAAGGTTGAGCATACTCATTTATATATCGGATGTCTGTTTTTTTTCGCGTGTTGCAAATTTTGCGAAAAAAGGCTAGATTTTTACAGTTTTTATTTTGCACAAGTTATTTTTTGCGATTTAAAAAAAATAATTAAAAAACGTTTACGTTTTTATGGCACACAATAACCGATATAATTTCTGCGTGTTTTACTTTTTGCAAGTTAAAAATGATCGCAAAAAAAACGGATAAAAACGGATATACAGTAAGCTTGCAAACAGTTTGCCTGCTAGACATGTACTAGACACCAAAGAGGAAAGAAAAAAATATTGGGGTGGTGTGTAACAAACTTACATTTGTATGCCTCAGTGGATGGATATATAACAGGACAGGGCCTAGGAAACATTTTACAGTCCACCCTACTCTCCTGGATCAGATTTCCTAGAATGCTGTACTCTGTACATCTCCCTAAAATCAAGATACATGAATACATGGTATGTATAATATAATTTGTCTAATATGAATATTGTGTATTCTGAAATCTTACATTTATAAAATACATTGATTTCTCCAATTAACTGCATCAGATAAAGAGTTAAAATCTACCAGTAATTTAAAATACCTGTATAAAATAATGTGAACTAACATGATATCCTTTTCAACAGTGTGTTAAGTTCTCAACGCAGTACAGTTAAGGCAACATTTTCTATAAAAAGACACTGAAAACAAGACACTTGAAGTTTAACCTTCTTATTTTCTAGCATACGACTCTACTGAAAATATATTTGTGTCTTCTTGAAGAGTGTGTCCTTCGCTTTTAATTATAATATTTTTTGTCATCATGTGACCCTTAGTAGTCACGTGGGCTCCTATTTTAGCTCAAGATATAAAATATCAAATTTAACCGAAAAGTTCAAGGGCAAGGCAAAGAAATATTACACTGCACAAGGTTTCAATGTGTCCCCAAGTATCTATCCTATCTCAAAAATAATGCTCATTCAGTTAGATCTCTGGTATTATTTAGTTATTCAGTAAAAACAGACCGCTATTGAAAAAATAGGGTACTTTCCGCATTTCATGTGAAATAATAAATTACTTAGCGAATTACAGAGAAATGAGCATCACTTTTCAAAAAGTATGCAGTAAAATAAACAATTTGATACAAAAAACTACCTCTTCATATGTCGCCTTGCCCTTGAACTTTTTAGTTTAAAATCGAAGTCTTGAAACATTCATTCTAAATATAGTTTTCAAATGCATTAGTGACCCGCCACGGGAGGTAACTCTTTGGTATTTGTAGAGTTTGTTTACCTCGCGAATTTGAACATGTAACTTCTACAGACTATGCTAGGCTTTATTTTACTTATTCAAAACGGTATGCATATAAAAGATCTTGACTTTAATTACTTTCCTTTGTATGTCTTCGTCCTTTTCATCCACCAGACAAGACCTTGTTGAATACCTTCCGCATTTTCTCGATGATCTAGGCCTTTATCATGTACGTATACATGTATAACAATCAAGTTTATCGGCACTGCCACAAAGTACATCATACAAGTAATATTGAAAAAATGTCCATTACTAAATTTCAATCATTTCAGATAAACGTGTAGATCTCCCCTCCCTCATATGATGAGAAACCATTCATCCCCCCCCCCCCCCACAGACATAATAAAAAATAAATATCTACAACAGAATGAAGTTTCACATATGGGTTTTCCTCAGTGGCTCTCCAAAATCCTCTTTTGTTTAAGAGTTCCTGTTGGCTTAAAAATTATTCAGATATAAAAACCAGGTGAGGGTTATTTACACCTGTTAATATTATTAGTTCTATCCTCCTTTCTGCATATCTAACCCCTTATATTTTGCTTCTTAGCTCCCTTGATAAAAGGACAATGATATATACTTGGGCATTGTTAACTTGTAAACATCATGATCTAGTTTTTATTTATTAGGATATAACCATTGCATCTCATTTAGAGCGGGTGCTTTCATTTTGTTTTTTAAAAGGAGGGGGGGTCTTATCTGTGATAAACTTGTGTATAAAAGGTTAGGGATTGATATTTTCTCTTTAAAAAATGAAAGCACCCGAGCTAAATGATATAAAAATGTAATCAGAAAATAGATACTTCTTTGATACAAGTGATCATGATAAATATATAATTATGCCAATATTAGACTTTATTTGATTCAATGTATCAAAAACACCATGTTCATGCAAGTCTGGATTTTCACACCTTTACAGCCTTAAAAGCTGACATTCATATCACTGTTGCCATTGAAAGATAACATTTAAAGTATTATTCATCTAGTAAATTTATTTAATAACTACAGCTTCTCCCATACAAAGCCAGGCTGTGAGGGTAATTCTGAGTAGGTGCATAGTTTTTCCATCAAGACATGTACTCTGGGATAAAATCCATTCTAAAAATAAAATGAAATATTATTAAGTGTGCTGGTGATTAAAACAGTAAAACTTGAAACAATGTAATGAGTAAAATCTAATGAAATCACAAAAAATTTATCAAATATCTGTAACTCTGCTGTTTTTATTTATTAAAATAATCTTTAAAATAATAGTGCCATGAATATGTGTATTGTTGATATCATTAAGCATACCTTTTTACTTGGTCCATACACTTGCTGCCTGTGTCAACACTGGAATGGTTCAAATTCTTTGTGAACAGCTACTGTAACATAAAATATACCAAAAATGTAATGAGTCAAATACATATTAGTTAAAATAAATGGCACTGCAATGTGCAAAACAAACCATGTAATGTAACATTTTCTAAAATTCATGAAATCTTTTGTTACAAAACTTCTCTGGGAATTTTAAAACTCTGCCATTTGCAATTTAACAATTTAAGCTTGGAAAATAAGTGATTAAAGGAAACAAATTCATAAATGAAATTCTTGCATCTGTTCAAAATTGAAAAACTATTATATTGGCATACAATAAAATTATTATGAAATATGTTAATAGTGAACATACCATGTTTAGAAATTGTTGCATATGTTTTCTGTAGATAACCCTGGATTATAAGCATGCAGCACCTGACAGCTACAATGATGAAAGAATTGTACATCATGTATTCAGACCAGAAAAATAAAATAACATGATATTCAATTTTAAATTTAGAAATATCATTCTACAGATTTAGAATTTCATAATACAGATGCTAAGAATTATTTTAAAGTATGAAACACTAGCTGGTGAAAATTTAAACTTTAAATCCTATTTTTGATTTACAGGACTGGGGTATAAAATGCATATATGCATGTATATTACATGTACATACACAATACAGTTTCACTTTACAGAAATATACACTTTATGGATGTGCTAAATTATCATTTGATATCCTGCTTTCCTTTTCAAATTACATATTTAGATGATTGTATGTCAACATAATTATATGTCTAGTGAATCTTTTATCAATGATTGAAATTGAACAATAATTAATTTTAATAAATTTAACAGCAAACTTTTGCATGCCTGCAGATCTCCATGATACATGCATTCTCTCAAAAATTAGTTGAACGACAAGGAATTGCATATTCAGTGCAAATTAAACTGGTGGTGTGCAACTTCATATCATGTTTGTGTGTGTTGTGTGTGTAAGGGGAAGGGGGGGGGGGGGGGGTAGACACAGCTCCTGGGCACTACCAATATATCTTGCTACATGTATACATATTATACATACACACTCGATTATTTCATATTGATGTTAACAATAGTATGTCAAAATCTTGATACCTATGCGTACATAATCTTGATACTTATGCGTACAAATATGAAAATCCCTGCAGCTGCCCAGGGTAGAGAGGTGGGGTGCAATAGCCTCAGTAGTCCATGATTTCTCTAAATATCTGCATCATCTGATAAACAGACCATAAATCTGTTACTTTATTACTGTTCTCTTTAGAAGATTTAACTGTTTGCTGTATTTTTCACCGCAAATCTCAGCTGCTGTCTCCACGTCCTTTATGTAAACAACATTCCGTGTCACTGAGTGCAAGCGCTTGGCTGAAGCCGAGTGCAGCCAAACGACACAATAAAAAGCGAATTATTTCGACAACATGATGTTCTAAACAAGAGAAAATCACTACGTATAATTTATTTAGAGACAAGAATACGGACATTTGTTCCAAATTCTTGCAATTGTCGTTAAATAGGTATTTTGAGCTCTAATTCCTTATATAGATATATCAGGGCGGAGCGACTGTCATGACGTCAAACCTCATTATGACCTCATTACCATAAAAGTTTCATGGGTAGCCTTAACTGTACTGCGAAAGGGTTTTCTATTAGTCAAGATATTCAGTCATATACACATAGCTGACTCTTTATAGTCACATAAAATGTAAAATGCTTCGAGGACAAAGGAGGCAGAATAAAACTATAGAAGGTTACAGGGACATTAACTTTCATATCAAATTCCCCCTTGGACAAGTGAAGACAAACTTTGGATTGCCCAAAGGTAAAAGTGAAATTTAGAAAGAGAATTTATTACTTTGATTTCTGTAACCCAAGAAAGAGGAATGGAATGATAAAAGTTGATTAACATTTGCTAATGTATTAATACATGTTATTTGTTTCAAGAAATGGTTTTAGACCATGTCATTTCTGCTAGGATTCTTTGCTTTACATGTACTTTCAATTTTTTAATTGCTAAAAAATTTACTTGTAGTTTATTTAGCAGAATTATGACTGGAAAGCAACCCTGTATAAAGCATTTATGGATTATTAATATAATATAATTAAAGAATATAAGTTTCTATCAGAACTAGAACTGTCCAAAAGGGACAAATACCCCCCGCTGGGTTTTTCAGAGAAGGTACCAAATCACTAATGTTTTCTTAGACTAGATGTGAGAGGTGTTCACAATTTGCTTAAACATTTAGAGTGAAAATTTAATTACTCATTATATTTTTTTAATGAATGAAACTAAGGTGCAGCCTAATAAAACATCAATGCTAGTAATTACAGTATTTTTTAATTACATTGAAAAAATAGTGTGCAACTATCTGTCATCTTTGTGAGACATGACACTCTGCAAATTGATTGTTGAAAAAAAAATATCATAATTAATTATACAAAATCAAATTGATCTTAATACCTTTATATATCAAACTCATTTTAAAAATAAAAGGCTGGTTCCAGTAACTATGTATTTTGACAGACATAAATTACAATTAAGAGACTTAGACAACAGAGATCTTTATTTCTTTCTGCCCAATTCCCAGGAGATAAAGATAAGACTTGCTTGATCAGAGATGCCCTAACAGCTTCCCACACTGAACTCATTAATTAATCTTTAACTGGATGCATGTCCACTCATTACTCCAAAGGTACAAATGGATTTACACTATCTGCTGTGTCATGTAAAAACTGTTTTTAATACTTTGTGATTTTTTTTCTAGTTCTTATGAGTAGTTTTAAGCTGTAGTTCACATTTTTGTACAGATGTTCTAGATTCTATGTCTCAAACCTTAGACATGAATCTGAAATGACTAAGTCAATAAAAATGAAAAAAAAAAAAACACCTGTAAAATGCAGAAAAATTATCAAATAATGTTGAAAATACCAGGTGGACATCTTCATATAGTAAATAATAAGTGTACAAATTTTCATACAAATCTATGCAATAGTCTCTGGGAACAGATCCGGACAAACCACATAATAAAAATGAAAAAAACACCTGTAAAATGCAAAAAAAATTATCCAATCATGATGAAAATACCAGGTGCACACCTTCATATGGCGAAGAATAAGTGTACAAATTTTCAGACAAATCCTTGCAACAGTTTCCAAGAAATGGTCTGGACAAAATCTCGTCTACAGACAGACGGACAGACAGACAGACGGACAAGCTGATTCCAATATACCCCCCCTAAACTTCGTTTGCGGGGGGTATAATTATTTACTTGTCTGATCGGACAAGTCCATTGCTACTAAGTTCCCTTGCCCTAGCAGAGATTTACTTGGCCCGAGCAATTAGACATTCACCATTTAATTTAATGTCTACCTCTGAGGTTGGAAGAATAAGCTGGTGCTTACAATGAAATATTTTGCAGTACAAACCTAGAAGGATTCTCCTTCCATAAGCACACACTTCAAGAGTTTCATTGAGAAAGAAGTTCAATACACAATGATATACAAATCTGTCCGGCTCTGGACACAGTCCAGCAAGGGATGAACATTTTTTTCTTTTGGCTGCCTCCACCCACTCAGTTTTATTCTCTGGACATTTGTTGACTCTGGCCACAGTCCTTCTAGAGGTTTCACAGGAGTCAGCAGCATTCACACAAGATTGATCAGAAGAATATTTAAACTAGATAATTAAAAGAAGATAATGTAGATTTCCAAACTTTTGCAACACTTATTTTCAAGAGATGGTTAATTGGCATTTATAAGCCTGGGCTAGACAACACTTTCACTTATTTTGGCGATTGTTGTAAAAATATTTCAGTAATAAATATATATATAAGAATAAAATCTAGAAACTCTATATTTTTAAGACTGTTTTTTTATCATTTTCTTAAAAAATTACAATTAGTTTTAGTCATATAATAAAAATTTAATTTCATCATTTTCAAAATGATGGATTTCAGTCTCCCCCTGACTGAATATGATCAATAAAAGCTATAAATATCATATAAATTATCATTCCAAGTTGTAATTGTATGTATTATGTCTTGAAGTCTTACCAAAATTGCTGCTTCAAAAAAAATCAGAGTTCTGAGCAACTTCAAATTCAGCATCTTCATTGTGTGATTCTTTTTTACTTCCAATTCATGCCTGAAATTATATTAAACACATACATATATTGCATTTTTTTTTATCAGCCATTCAAGTTATTTAATATTTAAATATCTAAAGAGTCCAAATTTTAAGTATCAGACTAACCAGAAACTCTATATTACATGCAATACAATTTTTTAACCTCTGGATGTATGGGGTTATTTTAATGAATATGTAGGAGTGATCAAATATCAGTGGCGGATTTAAGGGGGGGGGGGGGGGGCAACCAGGTGCGCGCCCCCCTAAAACTGTCAAAGTTAGCTTAAATCATGGTTTCGTCAAGAAAATGAAAAAAATGTCTACTTGGTAGACCTCATTTTTACCCTACAAAATCTCTAGAATCCAGGAGCTTCCGGGGGCTTCGCCCCCTGGACCCCCACCAGGGCTTCGCCCTGGACCCACTGGGGGCCAGACCCCCTGCCTACTTTCTGCGCCCCCCCCCTAACTTCAATTCTTGGATCCGCACCTGAATATATATATATATATATATATATATATATATATATATATATATATATATATATATATATATATATATATATATGTATATACATATATATATAAATTTCTCGTTCAAGTGTAATGCAGTTGAACTTCGGTATCCATAACACCAATATCTCAAATCCATGGATATGTTGAAGTGACTTTTGAAATCGCAACTACTTTTTCGTTTAGTATTTTACCCTTAATATCTCTAATCCTCTGAAATCAAACTGAAAATATGCGCTTTTTATGCATGCATATATTTATTGGCATTCATATAATTTTTCATTCTTAATTCATTATTTTAATTTGCATTGTTGTACGTTACCGCAGTTCTTATAAATCATACAGAAAATCTCAATTCTTGGTATCAATATCCGTTTTCGGTTTTTGCATTTAAAACACAGGACTTGATTTACAGCTTTTGGGCAAGTGAAAATGCTATTACAACATATCAGATGTAATTTTGTTGAAATTTTTATGCATTTGGGAATTGGATTCAAGCTAGAAAATGTGTCTGAAAAAATTAAAGAAATCCTGTGCACCGATAATAAAGAAATCAATAATAATAAAAAAAAACCGAAATCCTGGACAGTCGGGCGTCGGGAACACTAGTTATACCGTATGCCATGTTTTACCACTCTTTTTACCACAATCACACAAGTAAACAATACCACGTGTTATGAGCAATTAAGTGGATCTCCCAGAATTTCAGTAACACAGATTTTTCATGCCAGTGCAATGTATACATGTATATGCAACGACAATTCATAAGCTTTTATGTGCAATTCTTGAGAAAATTTCCAAATATTTACCCATTAGTGATACGAGTTTCGAACGGCGCTCTCTTGCAAGCGGGAAATGCTGTCTTTTGCTCATTGGCTACGCGGGTAGCGGGAACCGGAACGACAACAACTATATAGAGGTCCTTGATTTTGCGCCAAGACCAAGAGTTGCACTCGGAGCTCCTCGGGTGGCTCGTACCTCACAGTGGCTCGCACACAGCGTAGCGGAGTTAGTCTCGTTCAACCAGACGCTCGGCTGTCTCCGTAAATCTCCGACCAGTAGGTCGGAGATTTACGGAGATAGCCGAGCGTCTGGTTGGCTCAGCTGTCTCCGTAAATCTCCGACCAGTAGGTCGGAGATTTACGGAGACACTCGAGCGTCTGGTTGAACGAGACTATAGCGGAGTCAGCCGAGGATATTGCCGATTGATAAAGTTAAAGCACGACCGTCGTGCCGATAGACACTTCCAAAGTTGAAGACTTGGATGGGTTTTGCCCCTCATATATGAACTTGTAAATATTTTATAAAAGTTTCTCTATTTGTAATTAAGTAAATAAATAAAGTATATATAGATTCATGCAACATTTGTCAGGTACGTACGTATAAATTGAAGTGTTAAGTCCCTGGTAAAGGCCCGTTTGTGTAAAAAAATCAAAGTACTGAAGGTACTGATGGGAGCTGATTTTAAGGACGATTTCAAATAAAATTTTATGTTTTTAACCTTGTTTACAGCTTTTCAAATTATTTACAACATTATTGCTTCTTAATTTGGTATGTGAGTATCAAAAGACTAAAAAAAATGTCACGATATTATAACTTTTGAATGATATGCAAAAACGTGTAAGACTTCTTCATTGCTCAATTTTTTTCAGTAATTTAAGTAATTTCAGTAATTTTCCTTACCAAAAATTTGTTTAAAAGTGCCAGAGTGACTTTTTTCGTCAGAATGTGATTCAAGTTGTTGATTCCGCTCCTATAAATATATATAATCTTTGAATAAATGATTTTTAAATGTACGTTTAAATTTGTATATAGAGAAATGGTGTATGTTTTGCTATTTTGCATAGGCGCCATATTGTTTTCAATATGGCAGATTTTTGTTCAATGCATTATAAAAGAAAAATAAAGCATAAATTAAAAAATATCAATTCGGAATAATTTCTTCCTCATTTGATTTTATCTTTTATTGTGTCTTGTATCGGAATGCAATCTTTCGTTTACAAAATGACGAAAAGTTGAAAGTTCATTTCAAGTTTGAAAATGTAAAGGGAAGCTTCATTACAACGATATTCATGTAGAAAAAAATGTGATGAAAGAGCTTACAAGGTCTTTATAAATCAAATTTATAAATATTTGTCATTTTCCGATTTCATCCTCATCTTGCGTGAAGTTGTCAAACTTGCAATTTCAGTTTCTAAGATACATGTAATTAGATGTTGGTTTCTTTTAAACTCAGTAAAAATCCCGTTTTAGACAGAATTCAGAAAAACTGAACAACACTCCCAGTGGGGAAAGATTTTTTGTTATTACCTGAGAAAATATTGAACTTCATTATTGTCATACTTTGAGGGATACAATCAAATAATTACTGATGTTTCATTATAAAAAGATTAATAATTTTTTTTTTTTTGAGAAAAATATCACAAAAATAATGAATATTCATTGGCAACGGTCACGTTGTCATTAATTCATGAATAAGGTGTACAACATTTAACCATGTGATGTACTCTGACCAAAGTTAAATCACGACAAATACCATCTATATTGGTGATGAGAAAATTAATACAGCAACATGTATACCAGAAATAAAGATTCTTCTCAAATTTATGCCCTCTTTCCAGATTGTATTGTTTGATAGATTTTTTGAGATCAATCACTGTCTGTTATGTTCACCTTTTTCATAGTGACTTGGATTCACAATATACATCTTCACTCTTGTAAAGGTGGAAAAGACTTACCAGATTTTCAAGTCTATTCCAATAGCTTATCTTTGATCTTACAATGTCGAAGTGTAGGGGAAATCTACCAAATTCAGATAGTACAGCAAAACTAGTTGTATATTTATGTACACCAAGTATTAATTTGCAAACTTTCAGTTTATCATAGAATGATTTGGATGACATCCTGTTTATTGTACCGCCAGGGAGGCTATTTTTTTTTTTTAGTAAATGGATTAAAATAAACCCAAATTTCATATGCATACAATAATTAAAATAGGGTTAATTGAATGAACAAAAAAGTGAACAGTGGTTTTAATGTCTAAATTTATTGAAACTATGAATTTTTTCTTCCTTTTTTTGATTAATTATTTATTTTTTTTTATAAAGTTAATATACTTTGAGCAAAAGATAAGAGCATGAGAAATGATACACTTAGGTATTTGCATTTAGATACATTATATGACATAACAGTGTATTTACATATAAATAAATTTCGTTTGTTTATAAATTAAACCTTATTCCGTGGCATAATTCATTTTTAAATGTACCGGGTATCATTTTTATATTTTATTTTTACTTTTCGCTGGAATCTCACTAAGATGGCAGGGAGATGAAATATTTCATTACAGGTATATTAAACCTCAAAGCAACATATTTGGTCTTCGTTCGCAAATGTACACGAATCACACGGTTTTGTTTTAGAGGAAAATGGGCTATTTCAACACCCCACTCCGCTCCAAAAATACTTAATGTGCCCCAAATTAGCAAATTTCTAGATCCACTCCGAATTCCGTTCTATCAACAGTGAAATAATTGTTGAGACGATTTCATGCACAGCATTAATATTCCTGCAAAAATAAAAATATTAAACAAGCCATCTCAATTACACATCTAATCAAAGTACTGAAGGTACTGATGGGAGTTGATTTTAAGGACGATTTATGTTTTTAACCTTGTTTACAGCTTTTCAAATTATGTACAACATTATTGCTTCTTAATTTGGTATGCGAGTATCAAAAGACTAAAAAAATGTCACGATTCTAAGGAGTCAAAAAAGTAAGGCTTGTTTTGATTTGACCACAACTTTTGAATGATATGCAAACACGTGTAAGACTTCTTCATTGCTCAAATTTTTTCAGTAATTTAAGGTATTTTCCTTACCAAAAATTTGTTTAAAAGTGCCAGAGCGACTTTTTTTTCGTCAGAATGTGATTCAAGTTGTTGATTCCGCTACTATACATGTATATATAAAATCTTAGAATAAATGATTTTTAAGTGTACGTTTGAATTTACATATAGAGAAATGGAGTATGTTTTGCTAATTTGCATAGGCGCCATATTGTTTTCAATATGGCAGATTTTTGTTCAATGCATTATAAAAGAAAAAAAAGCATAGATTAAAAAATATTAATTCGGAATAATTTCTTCCTCATTTGATTCTATCTTTTATTGTGTCCTGTATCGGAATGCAATCTTTCGTTTACAAAATGACGAAAAGTTGAAAGTTCATTTCGAGTTTGAAAATCTAAAGCGAAGCTTCATTACAATGATATTCATGTAGAAAAAATGTGATGAAAGAGCTTACAGGGTCTTTATCAAGCCAATTTATAAATATTTGTCATTTTCCGATTTCATTCTCATCCTGCGTGAAGTTGTCAAATTTGCAATTTCAGTTTCTAAGATACATGTAATCAGATGTTGTTTTCTTTTAAACTGAAAATCCTGTTTTAGACAGAATTCAGAAAAACCTAACAAACACTCCCAGTGTGGAAAATGCAAGGGTT